CTGGTGTACTTCGTTTCAGTTACATTATTGCTTTGGAGCTAAGATTACAAAAGTAATTTTACTCTTTTTGATCTCCTTAAACACGAATCAAATTTTAAATATTTTCATATGTAAAATAAATTTTTGAGCTACAAAAATGACAAAAAGATACAAATATGAAGATATATTTCCACCGAAGAATGACTTAGTAACATAGGTGTATCTTATGAATTTTCAGTGATCTGTTTAATCAATGTATTATAAGCCGGTAGTATTTTTAAAAATAAGTAATATTTCTTGTTCTCAACACTTATTATTTATTTAAGCAATGCTTCAAAATAATGTCTTATGAAAAACATCTGATCTCCCAAAAATATAATACATATAATCTATACATTACATATTATTGGAACAACATTTAAGAATCTTAAAATAGAGGATAAAAATAAGAAAAACAAAAATTTCTATGTTAAAATAATAAACGAAAAATGTAAATTACTTATTTTTTATAATCCAAAAACAAAATACAATAGAAATTTAAATTTTTCACCAAATATTCTTTAAATAATTCCTAGACATAATACTAATTTCAAAATATTATCCATTTATTAGAATAAACAATAATGTAGATTTTTTAAAGTCATTTAAATTCTTTTTTTTTTTTTGATTTATGTACTTAAATTAAATTTTTGTTAATTAAAAAAAAAAGCTTAAAAGTTGAATACAAGGTTTTCCATAGCACATTCTTACAGTGATTAAAAAATATCAAAAATTTGTGTCAAAGTTTATTTTGTAAATATTTAAAGTTTAAATTATTACAAATTCTTCAAAATCATGAAAATGTACAAACTGCTTTATAAATTAGAAGATGATTTTTTTATGTATACAATGATTTATCATTAATTTATCTGTCAGTGACCTACTTAAAGACAATATTTACATAGGACATTAATCTAGGTACTATATACATTAAATCAACAATATCGTTTTAGATTCTGAGTAGAGCGATAAATGTATTAATTTTAAAATGATGTGTGTGTGTGAGTGTGCGTATTTTTGTGTACACAGTTATTCGTAGAAAAAAATCTTCAATTTTCAACTTAGGAAGAGGTTCCTAGTGGAAAATCGGACCTAGTTGATACTTTTAAGAGATTGAAATTGAAAATCCTCAGTATATTTTATAAAATAACCGAGAAAAATTTAAAATTGTACGCATATTATCTAGTTTTCGATAAAATCTGTTTTGTTTCTTATTCACATTTTCTGTATACAATCAAAATATTTTGACTCTTTTTAAAATATATAGTTACCTTTTCTATGATACATTAACATTTTGTATGATTTTTTTTTCAAGACTTTAATTTAAAATATGCATAAATTCACCAAAAATCATGCAAATTATTTTTAGAGTTAAAAATGTGTTAAATTTTTATAGTTAAAGATTAAACATTTAATAGAAGATTTCTCACAAATTCTTAAACTTTAACCAAGAATACGTACATAATATAATGAGGGTATTTTTATAAAAATTTCAAATTAAAATATGTATAGAATTAGATATATAAAAACGACAAATAAAATAATTTTAGTTATTTTGATTAAATTAATACATTAGTATGAATAAAATTTTTAATATTTATTTAAAAATTTTAATATTTAATACAATGTTTTGTAAACGTTTTTCTTAAAAAAATTTAAAAAAAAAAATTGTACAATTCCAAATATATTTTTTATGAGTGACGTTTACATTTTGATAAAATTGGTTAATTAAGCTTTAATTAATGATTTTCATCAAACGATTTATATTTTTTTTATTTCAAATCAAAAAAAAAATATTAATTGTACAAACTTAAAACATTCCTCTGTTACTTAAATTTTCAATTTCCACATCAATTGCAGTTTTCAAGATAGTAAGATAAGCTATTTATAAGCATATAAAATGTTCAAAGTTTTTTTTTAAGTATCAATAATAATATTTAGACTTGATCAAAACAAAAATTTAAGGTCATTCGTAAGTTATTTCTATATTGAAACCTAATAATCTAATAAATAATATCATATATATATATATATTAGGGTGGTCCTTAAATTTTAAGTTCAAAAATGTTTTCATCTCACCCCCTAAAACAGTGTATATACATACAATAATTAACTACACGAAATATTGAATCAATCAAACAAAGTTAACCCGTGCCTATTTGAACTTAAAGTTTGAACTTTTACAATTTTTCAAAATTTTTCAAATTTTTGTACTTATATCATAAACCGTTGATCAAATTGAAATTTATTATAGATACTAAATTAATTAAAACTACATTTACGAAAATATTTGTTCTATATATTTTTTAATATCTTCAACTGTTGGTGAGATATATTAATGTTAGTGTTTAAAAATCGGTCTTTTCGATATTTTTCAATATTATAACGTAAATTATTACAATTTGTATTGTTTACTTATCGATAACTCCAAAAGTTATTTTTATAAATTAGAGTAATAACTGCAATGAATACCCATATAATTCACTGATATTATTTGTATCGGCTCCTTATCGTAATTCCGATAGTTCACGTAAATTAAACAGCCTAAATTCTCTAGTCTAGAGATTAGTTTAGGAACAGTCGTCAGACGTCACTCGTTTTTAATAGTGTTTGTATTCAATTGTTTTTCTCTGAAAATATTGTCGTGATTTTATAATATTATGTGTTCGAAAATAAGAAATAATGTTTATTTATTGGGTAATGAATGCAGTCAAATTACTGGTGGTAAATTGCCGTCCATTAAGCAGGCTTTATTAGTTTTTTTCTACAACTTACGAGTTGTTAAATTAAATATACGTGAAAGTGCTCGTCTTGCTGTACGTGAAATAGTAATATTTTGGGAAAAAGCAAGAATTCCTGTACAAGATATTCAGCATTGTATATCTAAGCTGGAAAAATTATATCATGAATGGAGAACAGTTCAAAAAAATTCTACAAAAAGAACCGAATGTCAAATTAAAAAAGAAGTCGTGTTCTCCTCAAAATCGGACGATTTATTTGACATTGCTCATGCGAACGCATTAAATATGTTAGGTAATAATTTTTACTATAACATTCATATTTTGTTTAAAAATGTTTAAAAAAACATTTCTTATTATAGGTATCCAGGAAGATCGAGATTTTTTACTTCTCCAAAGAGAAAAAGGCCGAAAAGGCTATATGATGGGCGTTGATACTAAATTGGTTAAAGCTGAAAAGCGACCTAACCTGGTGCTATTCATCACGCTAGATGGATGGCAAAAGCGTTATATTCATTAAAAATATATTTATTTAGAGATCAGTTTAATTTAAATATAAAAGAGGAAATCGGGCTAAGGGACATATGTATATTTTTGATTCGTCTTTACGTGAAAGCGTGGTTTGGGGCTCCAAATGCTGCAACAGCACCATACCAAGATTTTAATTTTATTAAAGATGTATATAACTATTATGACTCCGATGTTTCAAAAACAATTCTAAAAAAATTCTGTGGACATTTATGGTATTTGTCTGATGAAGCAATAGGTTTTTCATTTTTTGATAAAAATGTATCTGCCGATTTAAAAAAAAAGATGGTTAAAGCTTTAACTTCAAACGATGGCTCAGATGAAATAGTAAAAAAAATATCAATTAAACCTCATGAAGTTTCATCTTTAGTTACAAAAGATTTTAGTCATTTTGTAACGAAAAATACAAAAATATTTTTTGAACGTTTCGGTATTGACACACATTTTTTAAATGATGAACCAGATGAATGGATTAACAACACTGCGTATAATGATGGAGCAAATACTGTAGCCCATATTAATGTTGTTAATGATACGGCAGAAAGAGGAGTAAAGCTAATTGAAGAATATAACAGCATTTTAACTAAAGATGAAGAACAAAAACAGTACCTACTACAAATTGTAAAAAATTATAAAATTAAGTATCCTGACGGTAACAAATCGACACTACAATAATATTATGTTATTAAATATTATTAACTATTAAAAAAAATTTTATCAGTTTAAGTTCATTATACAATTTTTATATACTCGTACAACATTTTATTTTAGATACAATATGTTAACATTTTTAGTTTTAAATATATTCATGGAAAAGTAAAAAAAAACACAGTTTTTATACTAAGGGACAATATATTTCACCAACAATTGAAGATATTAAAAAAATTATAGAACAAATATTTTCGTAAATATAGTTTTAATTAATTTAGTATCTATAATAAATTTCAATTTGATTAACGATTTATGATATAAGTACAAAAATTTGAAAAATTTTGAAAAATTGTAAAAGTTCAAACTTTAAGTTCAAATAGGCACGGGTTAACTTTGTTTGATTGATTCAATATTTCATGTAGTTATTTTTTTTATGTATGTACACTGTTTAAGGGGGTGAGATGAAAACATTTTTAATTTTTTTTTTTTTTCATCTATAGTGAAAGACCACCCTAATATATATGTATCTTAAGTTTAATAGTTTTAGTTGTATTATTGATGTTTTAAGTGAGTGCTTGAAACTCTTAACGTATATTTTATACAAACAAAAATATTTTCAAATGAAATTTTATCAGCATAATAAGTTAATTAATTTTATCGTATTACTAATATTAAAAAAAAAAATACTATATCATGAAATATATACTTAGTCATATGTATAGGCTGACGATGTATGCTCAAAATTGTTTGAATATGAAGTGATCTATCATTGAATTTAAATTTGACACATCCATTACAATGACCTACTCAATGACGAGAGGTAAACTCGACACCTACCATACAGTAGAGCGTTATCTACTTCCCCCTTTTTTTATGGTTTTATTTTAAACCGGCCATTAAAAGGGTGAGATTTGTGATTACGTCACATGATTAGATAATATCTCTATAACGTCCCTTTACACCGTATTTCCGTAGTCCCCAAACACGACAAGAGTTCCCCAATCACTAAAATACATATCATTATATCGCCCATAATATCGTTGATCCCCAGGCGCTTTCCGATTAATTTCATTTCATTCGACATAACTGCAAAAGTGAATATTCTAGTACATATAATGCTAAAGTACAGTATTACAATTTATCAGGTACATTGTACAAATAATATAATGCTATAACTTACGTGAATACGCCTAAATAGTATCAGATACATAAGTGCAGCGCACTAGCGACCAGCTCTTCCTGAAATTTTTGAGGGTATACAATATAATGGGGTACTTCATTTTATATCGTCCCCTAAAATATCGGTGTATGTACACTGTACATACGTACACCGAATTTTCGCAACCCCTACATTACAGTATACACTATCCATATCTATATAGTGTATATTGTGATTTGATACTGCAACCGTAAACTGAAACGGGTTTAACTACATAATTATAACTAGTTATAACTTATATGCACCATAATGAGTTTAATCTATAATAAGAAAAACCTTTTACAAAACGTTGTTTGAGGAATTTTGAAATTATGTAGAATTCGTAATTATTTGCAATTTTATCCGTTGCGGCAAAACTACATTTTCAAAATGTTGAGATTTAGTCTTATTAAAACGTTTTTGATAAAGTTCGTATTAAATAAATTATAACCTTTGGTATATCTAATATCCAGAGATGAAGTGAAAACTAATATAATAATGTATACGACTTCCAGTAAGCTTATATAAGTCGGGTGGTGTACAATTGGTGCGGTGAGGTCTGGTAAATCGTTATAACGTGAATCGGAAGGTTGCACGCAGTAGTTAGTGAGATAAGTCCGGAAGTAAACATCATTAAAGATAAACTATGATAATATATAGCTATCATATTTTAAAAGTATATCTTTCATATATGATAGAAGTAGAACAGATTATGAGTTATACATTATTGCAATCAATGTATGTAATATGTATAATATAAAATCAGTTATCAATTATCACAGGCGATATATACTTATATGATACATTAAATGATTGTATAATAATTATATTAGCGCAGTGACTTTAATTAAACCTGCATTAATTATTGATAATCAGTATAACTATATTATGCTTAATATATTATTTTCACCACCTTTCTCCAGTGTAATGGACTTAAAACATTTTGATCCATCAAATCTTATGTTTATAAAATTTTGTTTCACAATATGTTAATTCTCAATGTTTTTCATAGCTTGGAAACATCGGCCATTGGACGACATATAAATAAAGATTTACTTGGATACTTAACAGAATATGATAAAAAATAAACACCCAATTTTATATGAAAATTCGCAATGTTTAGGTAAAAGACGTTTTGCGTACTAACTTCTAAATTAATTTATACTTCACGTCAAAAAAAAAAAATAATAATAATAAAATACGTTTTAATATTTAGAGTTAAATATTTAATAACACCTACAAAATTACAAAATTTAACAAAAAAAAAAAAATAAATAAATATTTCATATCCGGTATATTCTATCTCTACCTTAACTTCACCAATACTTATTCTTTTTTTTATCTCTATGCGAAGTATTTGATGAGGGTACTAACGGGTCGAATTTTCTACTGCCATAAATTTTAGCGATAGTACTTTGATAAATTATGTATTATTTACGAACGTATTAATGATTTTCAAATTAAAATTGTTTAATCCTCCCTTTATTAAACGTCAGAAACGCCAGTGTTCAGTGGTTTTGTTTTGGAATATGTATCGTAAAAAACAACTCCCATTTATAAATGTATTAGTACCGTAGACACTGGTGGGTTTTATTGACGGCAATACCATAAATAATTTTAAATCTTGAAATAATTACAGCTTAAGAATATCATTTATCACCATTTTCATTACATTTAAATAATTATAAAATGCTAAATTTTAGAGCTAAGTGCTACAGTGAATTGTGGACTATCATTTATTTTTTATACTAAATCGTGGCATGGTCTTACTATGATCTAACGTTTAGAACAAAATGGTATAGATTAACGTTTTTTAAACTGTGTTTAAAAACCCCGGGATTCCACGGAGATCACTTCAGGATTCCGTGGGGAACTTAAGTATTTTTTTCAAAATTTTTAAAAAAATTACTTTAAAATATCTTCTAACTAAAGATTAATAGTGGCTAGTAGGGAAACAAATTAAACTTAAATCAATTAAGCCCAATATTAAGAATATTTATATTAATAAAAAGCAATTTCACTTGTCTCATTAAAATTAAAATTTAGTTTAATTAAAGTAATTGAAGTATTATTGTATACAATCATTATTATTTTTATTTTTATTTTAATATATTTTTGAATTAAATACATTTAACACATTTTTATTACATGAGATAATTATAATTTTTATTGTAAATAATCTTAAAAAAAAAAAGCTAAAAAGTAGAGGTTCCACGATAAAAGTGAACATCAAAAACGGTTTCACGGAAAAAAAAATTTTAAAAACACTGGTATAAATGAATAGAATCACATTTTTTAAAGAAGACTTCCTTGCCTGTATCAAACAATAATTAAATAATAATAACTATTTTTTTATCTTATAATTAGAAGGAACCAAAAATAGACATAAAAAAATTTCAAAAAAAAATTCATGTGTAATTACTAATCAGTAATCACTTATTACCATAATTAGCCTAGATGCAAAAGAAACATTATTTGCTCCAAGTAAAACATTTTACTGGTATCAAAATTTAAACTATCTTTCTAAAAAAAAAAGATGTTATAATAGTTATTTGGGCAAAGAATAATAATAATAATAAAAAAAAAAGAATTCCTTAAGAACAAATTATATTATTAAAATTTATAATAATTTAATCTCTAAAAAGTCTAGTTCTCTTAGAAATAACTTAAATATATTTAAATTAGAAAAGTCATGAATATTAATTTTAAGTAATCTATGTATTTGAACAACGACAGATGTAAATATTTAATTCCAATTCGCTTTTTAAAATGTTCAACATTTATATTAATGTTTTCTTTGTACAGTGCATTACATAAATTACAGCTCACTGTCCATACAGTCATATTACGAAAAGAATACGCTAACATTGAGGATGTTACAACATTTTTCTGACGTGAAAAAAAGTAAGAATAATATACAATAAATATAACAAGCTCGTACAAAATATTTGCTGGCTTAAGAAAAAAGTAACAAGCGATCCTCTAAATATGTAATAGATTGATCTCTAAGACAATAATTATTATAATAACCTATTTAAACATTATTTAATACTTCTAATATTCAATATTAAGTACACTTATTCTTGATGGCAAAACTTACGGTTTAATTAGGAGATAGCGATCTATTATTTTTATATTATTTTATACGATTATTAGGTATATAATATTATTATTATTATTATTATACAATTATCGAATACTTTAGTTGCAATACTATTTTATTTTGAATAAAATGTATGTTATAACTTAATAAAAGATACATGGTAACGGGATATAAGATTTTATATATTGTCGTAATTTATTGAATGAAAACTGTTATATAGGTACCTACAAATAAGTAAGTAACATGTAAATATTTAAATATATAATTAATTAGTACCACGCGTAACTTGTGTAACTTTTAAGTCGTATTCAGTCATTCCGAATAAAATATCTAACCTATTAAAATTTCACAAAGTAGCTAGACGTATGCACTTTACGTATTATACTAATATACTTTGTATGCTCGAAAAATAAACACTACGAAATGAAACCGTGACGAAACTGGATATTACACGACTCTGCACGATCTGAAAGTTGTAATGATCTGCAGTCTATTTTTGGCTTGCGACAATCACGAAACAGGGGAAAACAAGAGTATGCATTGGCCTTTAATCCAGCTCGGTGTGAAATCAACCCTTTAAAAGAGTGTTAAACTCCGGATTAAAAAGTAGCCGCGACAGTCTCAATAAGTTCCCAACGAATCCGTTTAATAATGTATACATTTTATTGAAGTCCGTGCAGCCGTTTACACGTTTATAAATAAAATACACTCATCGTTCGATAA